CGCTGCCCGTTTTTTTAATCTAAAGTTTAGGGTTTAGGGTTTAGGGTGGGTTCCTCTTCAACTCTTTATGTAACTAAACGCTGCCCATTTTGTTATCTAAAGTTTAGGGTTTAGGGTGAGTTCCTCTTAATCTATTTATACAATTCTTTCTGTAACTAGACGCTGCCCGTTTTTATCTAAAGTTTCATATCAAAACTTCAATGTCAAAAGTTCAAAGCATTGAAGTTTCATATCAAAACTTCAATGTCAAAAGTTCAATGCATTGAAGTTTCATAACAAAACTTCAATGTGAAAAGTTCAATGCATTGAACTTTCATATCCAAACTTCAATGTAAAAGTTCAATGCATTGAAGTTTCATATCAAAACTTCAATGTAAAAGTTCAATGCATTGAACTTTTGATACGAAACTTCAATGCATTGAACTTTTGCACTGAAGTTTGGATATGAAACTTCAATGCATTGAACTTTTACATTGAAGTTTTGATGTGAAACTTCAACGCATTGAACTTTTCACTTTGAAGTTTTGTTATGAAAGTTCAATGCATTGAACTTTTCACATTGAAGTTTTGCTCGGAAAGTTCCTCTCAAAACTCTTAGAAACCTCCAGTCTGAACCCCTAACACTCTATTCTCAACACTCAAATTCTCAGACCTTCAAACAAAAAAGACTCTCCAAAGTCTGAACCTCCAAACTTTCGATAGTCTTTTCACAACGCAAAATCTGAACTCTCACAACATTACACAGATGCAACTCTTGTTTTCACAATGCGTGCAGCAGGTTTCCACGAGCTCTATACTCTACTCAGAAGTAGTCACCTCAAAGTTCACATCAAAACTCTTAGAAACCTCCAGTCTCAAACCGTAACACTCTATTCTCAACACTCAACATTCTCAGACCTTCAAACAAAAAAGACTCTCCAAAGTCTGAAACTCCAAACTTTCGAAACTCTTCTCACAACGCAAAATCTGAACTCTCATACCTCTCAAAACTTCATTTCCAATGCCAAGTGTGCGGCAATATATGCAGTCGTCGCTTTTCTCCTCCTCCAGGCTTCATATCCGAAATCTTTGGGACAACTCCATTGCAGTGTTGTTAGAGAAAGGTAACGTGGAAGCATAGAGTAGAAGGACTGGTGAAGTAGCTTGACGAATAGCGTCAGTCGAGATCCTGGTCGTCAGCAAGGTCTGCAGTGTTGCCTGCTGTGCCAGCATCATACCACTTTCAAACAACATTCAAAAACTCTAAGAAACTCAACATAACAAACATCGTTCAACTCTCCAAACCCTCAAACATGCGCTCGTTGGAAAACTCTCAAAGCTCTCTAAACTCTCTATGTACTCTGAGTCCACTGCTTTCCGGCACTGATGCTCCGCCACGTTCGTGGCCTGTAGTGCCAGCATCATACCATTTTCTGAAAACATTCAAGAA